TGCAGGTGCGCGGCGGCCTCTCCAACCTTCAGGTCCGCTATGGCGGACTATGACTCTCGGCGGCCACCTCTGCTATGGCGCATCACTCCTGCGACACACAACTCGACGCGTGGAATAGCAGGTACCAGCTCCGATACCAATGCAATCAGACTCGCTTTCATTCACACTTTTCATGCACGTAAACAGTATCGCAGCAAACTGGCGACACGCGCCCACTCAAAACTCAGAGATATGGCATCCAGGTACGAGTTCACTTTCAATTGGCTATGGCGACTCAGCGCCCAAACAACTCACTGTTCACATACACCGGATCACCCTGGATATCCCACACGCGACTCTCTGAACTCACACACACACACACACTCGCTACACACTAACTCTAGCGATAGCAGCTATGGCCGCAACTACCCTATCGCTATGCTACGCTCCTTCTCTCTCGCCCACTTCAGCTCCGGGCTCACTGCAGACCTCCTTGCACAAGTCGCTGTGGCAGCGCTTCCGCATGGCTCACGCAGGAATGAATGAATGGCTGGGCGCTGCCTCTTGATTTATACTTCTGAAACTCGTTGGTCTGCCCTTTGCCATCGGCCCATGGTGCTCACAGTCCGTCGTGGTACTTGCTGGACCGAACTGGGACTGACTGGACCTTACCGCTGACTGAGTGGAGACTCACTGCTAACCCACCGAGGTTGTACTGCAATTGCACTGCAGTTTAGTCCACCACTTGACTCACCACTTGCCCACTTGCCCACTTGCCCACTTGCTGACCTTCTAGAAGGGCGACAGCTAAGAGTTCTGGAACTCACTAAGACTTCTATTCTACAGGTCTACAGATCGAACCCCTGCTACCTACGGACCTATGACAGCCTACCAACTGTTTACGAATACACAGGTCACAGGTTCAACTCTAGGGGTCTACACGGGTACTGTACACAGGTAGGGCAAGGTCTAGGGATCGAACCCTGGGATCTGCGTCTGCTACTGCAAAGAGGTGAAAACCGTTTCAGGTAGGGGTGGGAGTCGAAGGGGCGGCGGGCTGAAACAGGATAGAGATGGCAAAGATCTGAGCGATCGGATTGACGTCTCAAAATTTAGTCAGCAATTCCAAGCTGGTAAATTTGAGCCACGCTTCGCCACGCCTTATGTTATCGCAAGTCCCAGAGACAAAATCGTCCTTGGTCTACGCCTGGTCATTTTCGGGGGCGTGATTCGATGAGGGACCCCTAGCTATCGGTAGCGTTGCCGAAATGCGCGTGGCACTTGGTCAATCCACGCAGCAACAGGAGGCCCTCACGATCGAGGCCAGCTAACCTCCTCCTTTTTTTTATTTTATTTTTATTTTATTTTTACCTTATGCTGGTGTAAATTCGCCCACAGCTTCTTGGACAACTCTGAATACTCCTCCCTGCGCGAGTTTCCATTTCAGGAAAGGACAGCACATGACACATGCCACCAAAGGACAAGAGACAGACAGTTAGCGGTGTGGCTTGCCGGCGTGAAACTTAAAAGGAACCTAACTGTAGCAGCAGTGGAAATGGAAGGAAACATAGCCAGTGAAGAGAACATAGAAAAAAAAAACAAAGTGTTCGCAGTGGAGCGTACGTGCATAATACCTCACGAACGGACACCACTCAGCGCCACGCTGCTCAAAATGCCTCTGTTCGAGCCTCCCTAGGTTGAAAACTTGTGGCCGTATGCAATTGCGGGCATGCTTTCGATGTACCGACCTGGCGAGGACAGGTTCTATTCATGCGTGCAGAAAAAATAGGTTTGGTAATTTAGGGTCCCCCGACAGGTGGCTTAATTCAGGCTAGGACCTCAGACTCTCACTCAGCATTTGTTGTTGTTTTTTTTCTCCGTGAAAATGGTACCCTGCTGTTTTCCCAGGGGTGAGAGGGCACAAGATTTTGCCCAAAGGGCTAGTGGGTGGGAAAGACATCGCAAACTTTTTTGTGAGGCTAACCACACCGCAAAGTTTGGTTTTACGTGAAGTGAACGGGACGCCCGCTCCACTGCACAAAATTTCTAAATTTGGATCTGTCCAAATGTATCTGGTCCCGAACTGTTCAACCTTCAAAGCGTTGGATTTGTCCAAATGTATCTGGTCCAAAAGAATATATACAGTCCAGATCCATAATAGAATGTCGAGTACTGGAGCGAGGCCCACGTGTTTGTGAAAGGGTTCAATTTCCGGAGTAGGCGCTGATACCCCATCTGAGCCATCTTTTCTGTTTAGGGTTTCGCCTGTCATTCCCGAGTCGAGAGAGACTCCGTCCCCTGATTCAGAGGAACCTTTGGCTGTTGGAGGCGAGAACTGATCCCACTGCTGCTACTGTCTCTGCTGTCGCAGAGTCTCCGTTGCTTTCCTGGCCCGACACCATGGCGTCTTCTTTCTGCCAATTGCCGGGTATGTTGCTGTGTGGTACGTAACCAGGGCTGAAAAGTGAAGGTCCCTGTTAACCGATTATGTGGAGGGAGGGTCCTGTCGACTCGGCTGACGGTGATGACGGCGAACCCCGTCGTGTCCAGGGCATGTGTTTAGAGGGCCATACTCCCGTCCTCCTGCTGATTCTGATCCTACTGCTGTTGCCATGATGGTTCCTGCGTCCTGGCTGGCTCTGCGTGCCATGAAGACGGGGGGGGAGGAGGTGGGGGTGGTCAGGATGGCGTCGGGGGGGGAGCTGGGAGGGCATGAGGGATACTGCGAGTTCGGGGGCGGGGCTGGTATGATCGGAGGGGTGTCCTGCGGAAGAGAGGGGGGAGGGTGGGACGGGTAGAGGGGTAGTATCTGATGGCTGCTGGGGGTGCTGTGGCTGGGCTCGCTGGGCTTTTAGCCTGCCGAGGTGAGCCCTTCAGCAAAAGTGCTTCCACAACACAGCCTCTAGAGTCCTATTTTAATTTGGTTATTCGGTTTCTGATCCCGGCATGCCAGGACTCTCAGCTTTATCAGTGGAACACCGACAATGATGATGTGGGGTCCAAGCCTCAGATCATAGTATCATCATACTCACACTACCGTCTTCACCTGAATAGAACACCCCATCATTATAGCTTTATCTAGAATGAAAGTTACACCAAATACAGCAATAATGATCAGGCGTTCTATTCGGGTGACGAAGGTAGGACTTTTCGAAGGAGCTCTGAACGTAATTTGTGGTCACATACATCCAGGTCAGGCCGTAATTCCCATCAGATACATCCAGGAAAGTCCTACTGTGAGTATGCCCTTGCTGTCTCCTCGATTCCAAGAGGTCCCACATTTTTCATGCTGGCCCGTAGGATCGGACATCTTGAGGCCACAGAATCTCTGGCATCCCCTTCTTTTTCGCTCTGCTTTTTCCAGACACTGCTTCACTCCTCTTCCCCCCTTCCTCTTCCTCCCCCCCCGCCTTTCCCCCCCGCTCCCCCACCCCCACCCCCACCATCCACGTCTTACTATGCCACATGCCGCAAACATTTCCATGAGATCTACATGAGATATCATCATTTATGCATCTGATCATTTTTGTTTACAGATGCATTCCTTGTTGCTCAACCCTCAGTTTTTCATGCATAACCTGCTGAGGGAATCTGCTGCTGCTACATGTGTGACGAATGCATGCACCTGTGCAGAACACCGGTCAGATACGTGAATGGTGTCTCGTGTTGACAGGGCTGGCAGATTCTCTACTCCACAAAAAGACTCTAGCCATCTGCAGCAGTGTATGAGGAAAATTATTTTGTGGTATACTGTTTTGAACGTACGGTGGAAGCGAAGTGACCATGAAAGTGCAGTGAAGCTTCATTTGCCTACTGGTCAGCTTCAGAGGCACATTAAAACGCCGGGCTTTCCCCCCTTCAAGCTTCGAATAAAACACAGGGCTTGGTTAAAAAAAAAACAAAAAAACACGGGGCTTGGTTTTCAGCAAAATACAATAGCGGCGTCGGCTGCCGCGTCCCGCATGGACTGTGCAAAATTGCAAATGATGTGCTCGCCTTCCGCCAAATTGTAGAATCTATCCTTTTTTAAGAAGAAAGATTGCAAAAAAGGAAGAGCCCACACAGTTGCTCCTGGGGTGCAGCCCCACTAGCAAACAGGATTGCATTAAATGCCTGAATCTGGACATGCTTTACACAGAGATTAAGAAAACAGATCAAATTGCAATTTTCTGCACCTGTCCACAAACAAGTCCAGGTTCCGGTGTCAACCCTAATGCACTTTGCTAGTGGGACCTCACCCCTCGGGTTCATTCATACTGCATACACATATCATCTGGGGCAAGGTCCCACTTACCGGGATTCTTCATTTCTGACCGTAGATAACTGATATAATATATATACAGATCAATGACCAGGAGCGATGAATCCAATGCAGGCTACTCTCTTCCCCCAGCCCCAGCCCCAAACACAATGCACCCTCATACCGACAGTACCAGATCAGAAAGATAGCTCGTGTTACCTCGCCTACGTTCATGATGACTGTGGTTTCTATTCGTGAAAGACATGATGGTAGAGGGACATTGTCCTGGAAGTGGACTGATGATAGTTGTACTAGGCTACTAGCCACCTACAAAGTTAAAAAAAAAAAAAAAAAAAAAAAAGTAATAATAATAATAATAATAAAAATTCCCTTGAGCTAATTACGATGGCAAGCCCTGGCTAGGTAGATGGGGGTAGGTAGTGTAAGGGATACTTGAGAGAAAAATATAGCTTAGTTAAAAAAAAAGAAAAAGGAAAAAAAGAAAAAGAAAGAGAAAAGTGTTAACCCGTAGCGTAATAAGGCTGCTTACCATGATACTGTATAACGAAGCCTTGACAAACCCCGTTGAACCCTGCTCGAACCTCGCTGGTACATAGTGGTATTACCCGGTAGTATGATCTGTGTAGGCCCCGGGACCCCTAGACAACTACTCCCTGCCTCCCCCTGGGGGGCCTACTATCTCGGTGTTGGGTAACGCTGGTGTTTCCCGGCCAGATGGGGGTTCTCATAGAGGGAGGGTGTGGCACAGAGAGTACTATGTCCAAGGGTGGTCCCCCCTTGTGTGTGTCTAGAGCCACGAGGGGTCCCCCCTCGTGTGTGTCTCGAGCCACGAGGGTAAGGCTGTCTCATCTTGGGGGAGTGTGTGAGGGGAGGGAAGGGGTACATCAACATTATGGTAGGTGGGATTGAATTGTTCAGGTTGCTTAATGGGTAGTTCACCGCTCGAGGGGAGTAGTTGACTCACACATAAAGTGGCCACATGGGCCACCTGCGGAGACCACATGGGTGGGTCGGAAATTGCCACAGGTAGAAATACTACCTGGGGTAGTCCAAGTAGTTAGAGTCTGCCTGATGACCAGCAGCAGGTGCGAGTGAATGCTTGGTCTCATCGATTAGGACCACCTGGCTGGCTGGTCGTCTCTAGGCAGTGGATAGACATTGGGGTACTCTCATAGCTACGTCATCAGGGTCCTAGGGCCCACCAGGGGACCAAAAAAAGGGTGGGCTTTGAGATGGGTATAGGGGCTGGAGGGACTAGTAGAGAGAACGCCGATAATGTGTAGCTCGGGTAGGACTTGTACTGAGCCTGTCTCCTGAGTCGTGGGTGGTGGATAGGGGGATTGAGGGGGGGTGTACTGTACATGAATAGGAGGGAGATAGGCTCTCTACGCCTGTCCGAGGAGGGATCGGCTAGGGATCTGCTAATTCAATGGTTGGGGGACAAAGCTGCTTAGAGTGGACCTGCAATACATCCAGGTGGAGGTTCGATCTGTAGGGACAGAATCCGATCTCTAGTGACAAGCTGTAGGCGTGGAAGGGACACGACTTGCGATAGGACTTCGGGCTTCAAGCCCATAAGTCTAGAGAACAATTTGAAATGAAAATCCATAAACAATTGATTGTCATACAGACAGAAACAAAACAATTACGTGAAAAGTTGCATTATATGAAACTCCATGAGTTATTTGGCCTTCAATTGAAGGTAACTTTGTCTTATGAAACCCGTTTGGAAAAGCAAAGCAAAAAAATACAGAGGACTCCGTCAAGGAAGGTCCAGAAGGCCAAGTGGGTCATTCCGAACCTCGAGTGACTGAAGCCCGGAGAGTACTCCCGCGCCTGATACCCTGCCTCTATGTTACATGCTGCGCCTGCACACGCAGGCCATTTTTCAGGCCCTGCGCCCTTCAGGCCAAAAGCCTGAATTTCAGGCCGAAAGCCTGAAATCCAGGGCTTACAGGCCCCACGTCGGTTCAACCCGAAAGCCTGAACTTCAGGGCCTACAGCCCCTATGTCGGTTCAGACTAAAAATGGCAACAGCCTTTTTAGCCTGAACCCAAGGGCCATTTTCGGTCGTTCATCAGAATGACCGGCCCTGAAACTCAGGCACCGAACCAGGGTTTCGGGAACAGGCTATTCTTAGCCTGTTTCCCACACCAGCCTCAGCA